AAAACTTCCAGACACACTTATTTAATTTTATGAAATTTCAAAAAATTTGATTTTGTACTGACATTTTAATGTGAAACTTATACTCTGGTGGACGAAATAAATAGAACATTGGAGAATTTAAATCATCAATATTTTGAGGACAACAGTGTAAAACAGGACCCTCAGAAATATAGAGAGATAGAAAAATTATTTTTTATTGGAAATATTAAAAATCTATTAGCTGAATCATAAAATAAAAATTTTTTTCATTTTAAAAATATTTAATTATGTCAAAAACTTTATAGTATGTTAAAAATTTGATGTTTTTATTAAATGATAAAAATATAAATTATGGATACTATTGTCTTAAGAAAAACAGGTTTTTTTTTTTAATGAATTATGACGTAATCCATTTCGGCCAGATAACATAAAAGAATGAACTGGATTTTTATCCAATAACGATTTTTTTTGAATTATGGGATCACAGGAAAGTCTTAATTATAAAAAAACTTTTTTTTATAAAATTTAAAAGTTTTTTGGAGACAGAACTAATTTATACTGGTTAGGTGGTTATTATTAAGTATTGATTCTTCAAAAACAAAGTCTTTATATTTACTAATTATAAATGAAAAAGTTTATCTTACTACAATTCAGCCTCGCCTGTATATATAGACAACTCAGTGGAGAGCAGAGGGCAGAAAAACCCCAATATTTTAATAAAGTATTTTGAATTTGCTTTTGATTTGTATAAATGTGGATGGATTTTTTGTAAATATGTAGCTTCTTCCAGGATCCATACACAATATTATCGGATGAAAATAATAATGATAACTATGAGGTTAAATTTAACGATTACCTGCTAAAGTACCTAAAATTCAATCAGGAGAGAGGTCAAAAAACAGATTATCAGAATGAATATTTTCCTAAATTTTTAAGAATACTAAGTAGTTAGAAAAAATTATATAGAAAAGACACTCAAGTTATATTCCTGCTGGAAGCAGGAAGAGGTAATTTTACAGATATGTCCACCATAGAAAACAATTAGATAAAATTCTCGGAGGTGTCAGTCTGAACACATGTGCCGCCATCAACACCTAAAATAAACAAAAAAATGCATTTCTGCAATATTTTAAACTTAAATAATATTCATTTGAAATCAGATTAATTAAAATTTAAATTGGCTAATGTTCCTCAAATAAGGTTTCAGAAAAGTATATTTTATTTTTGAAAGAAGAGAATTATGCTATAGTGATGGATGACTAAAAAATGGCACAAAAATCAGCAATTTTAGCAATTTCCATATGAAAACTCCTTCCAGACAATTTAAATTAATTTTTGTCAAGTTCATTTAACTCAACCTCTAATGGGTCTGCAAGTCCAAGTTTTTGTGAACAAAATCTTGGAAGTGCGGGTTGATATAACTGGTGGGAGATAAATGATACCCGCGGCCACGGGAAGACATTTGAAAGAGGTATGGCTGGTTGAAACTGAGCCAAAGCAGTCTGATGCGGTGACTCGTGAATCTGAGTGGCAAAATAAATGGTTCAGTTCAACTTCCAATCATCTGAAAGAAAAGCGGTGAAATGCTGATGAGGAGGCGCGCTTAGAGTGTACACTGACTATGACGTGTTGGTGAAAGCAGAGTGCGCTTAAAAACGTGAATATGTTAACAAAGATGAGGACCCACATCCACCAGCAGTTCAGGTGTTAAAAAGAACAAATGTAAATAGTGTAAATAAATTGAAGCCTGCCAACAATATCTCATCTCAGAAATATAGAGATAGCAATGGAAAAAATTATTTTGTTATTGGAAATATTAAAATTTAATCTATTAGCTTGAAATTAAAACTAAAATAAACACTTCAAGAGAGATTTTTCATTTTAAGGAAAATTCATTTTAAACCTTAGAATCACAAATGTCACATTTCTCCACGTGGTAAATGCACGACCAAATTGGAGGTACTTACTATAGTATGTTAAAAAATTTGATGTTTTTTAGATTATAATGATAAAAGCTCCTCTGATGAAGAAATATTGGAATCAAAAAAGACCGTAACTGTCATTTAAGAATAGAAGACGGATGAGAGACAGAAATAACATGTCTCTTTCTAAATATGAATGGATATAGAAAGAAAAATAATCCCTTCAAATGGGAAATCATAAAAAATGAGGGGGTATATTCTTGCAATAACAATGCATTATGGGACATGCAAATTATGGGTTTAGGAAACGGCGGGGAGATGGGTATTATGAACAACTATAAAACAATTACTTTCCAAAAAATCAGTTAGTGTGATTTGGAGAAAATAAATTAATAAATAAAAGGAATGAATTTCTAGGAAAATGCATGGCATGAATGGATATAGAAAGAACCTACTTTGAAACATAAAAAATTCTTGCCATAACAGTAACTGCAAATTATGTTTAGGAAAAGATGAGGAATAATTACTTTTAAAAATCAAAATAAATTAATAAATAAAAGGAATGAATTTCTAGGAAAATGCAGGCATTAATAAATACCTACTTTGACATAAAATCAGATTAAGTATAAGTAAATATATATAAAAATAGAGTAATAACCTTTTTGCCCACAAAAATACAATGTGTCAAAAGGAGAGTTTTTTCTTTGACACTGCTGTTATTTTAACTACCTTCATTCCTTAGCAATGTTTATTCTTTTAAAAAATGTTGATTAGAATTTTAATAAAAACTAAACATTTTCTTTGTTCTTGAGAATTTACAACAAAAATATTAAAAATGTTTATTTATACTATTTATTTATTTATTGTTTAATGCAATGGTTGGAAAAAACATTGTCTAATTCACAATCAATTCAAGCTGTATAAAATGGTAAATAATAAGGTTTTAATCATGGTCTTCATATTTTTATAATTTTGTAAATCTATAAATTTTTGAATAAAAAATTGTTTTCATATTTCTTTATAAATTGGTAAATGATAAATATTGCATTGTATTTGTTTTAATTGTATTAGTTTTTAGAATGTTGAAAATATAAAATTATTTTTATAAATAAACAATCTAATGAATAAATAAACATTTTAATATAATTTTGTTGCAAATTCTCAAGAACAAAGAAAATGTATAAATTTACTTTTATATGTTTAGGTTTTATTAAAATTCTAATCATTGCTTTTTAAAACATTGCTGGGGAGTGTAGGTAGTTTTTCTCATTTTGTTTTTAAGCATTTCACCCCAAGCAAGGTAGGATGCCACTAGCATGCAAGGAGTTACAGAGAGTGGGAGCAAGAGTAAAGAGGTGTGAAAGAGGAAAGGATGAAGAGAAGAACAAGGAATAGATTAAGGCATCTGGAGATATCAATTGACATTACATTTGAATATTTGGAGATTATAGCTATCAGGAAAACAAGGAATAGAAAGGGAATTCCACTGTCGGGAAGTGCAAGACATGAAACTATTGGAGTAGAAGAGACGGCTCCATTTAACCATTTTGACAGTGAAAGGGTGGGACTGAGATGCCAGCCTAGTAGCACATTTATATTCATACAGTCTGGGAACTAGCAAAAGTAGATCATCAGAACAGTTAATGTCAAAGTATTTGTAGAAAAGACGGAGGTGATGGCACATCTGTGAGAGAGGGACTGTAGATAAGATGCCAGTTCAGGGCCAATCAAATTGCATATCCATCTCTGGATTTTGTTGAGGAAGTTAAGATGAACAGTGGAGGCACCAGACCATATATGGCAGCAGTATTCCATGCAAGGGCAAATGGCTGGTTTATAGATTCAAAGGATGAAAAACTTTCTGGTGTGACACAGGGAACCAACTTTCCTTGCAGTGGATGAAGCCATTGATTCAATGTATTTGATCCATCTCAGTTCAGTGGACGGTGTGAGACCAAGCAGTTGCAAAGAGGTGCTATCATGGAGTTGAGCATCAGACATTCTAATGGGAGGCAGGGAGGGTTTCTTTTGGTGGGTAATAGAGAGTAGTTTTGTTTTTGAGGCATTAAAGTTAACCAGCCAATTTCTGCTGCAGTCAACAACCAATTGGAGGTCCTTTTTGTGACTAACGTCCAGGTTAGTTTTCTCAGTGGTACCAGATTTGCTTTTGATGCAGTGAGGAATGAAGTTGGAACTCGATTAAAATAAATTTTAATTGTAAATGAATTTACACATGGAAAAAAATGTGTCTTCATATTTGGCGGCACAATCAGGATTATCCAGCAAATGCTGCCTGATCAATAAGTCGTGAGTGGTTTTTAATATATGCCTTTGACTACTTGAACACAAATGTGCAGGTACAGGTTGCATAAACTGTCTCTTTGAACTCTGATTGGTTCATCCTATGTACACAGTTTCACATCAGCATTTGAATTTGTATACAAGTGAACTTTTCTGAAAATAAGACAAACAATCCTTACTAAAGGAAATGAATGCGGATTTGGTTAAAACAGGCTGAATCTGATGATAATTTCTCCTTCAAACCATCATTAGATCTGATGTAGTAATCCTGCCAGAGTGTTTAAAAAATAAATGGAGCATCTACTCAAATACAGGTAGCCACTGAAAATAACATTTAAAGTAATATAAGTATATATGTATATAAAAAATAAATAATTGAAATCATAACGTTTTTGTCTTTTAATAATATTAATCTTCATAAGCATTAAAATTGAATTATAAAGCTAAAATTTAAAATCATAGCCTTAAATTTTGATAATATCATCATCATCATGAAAGCTATTTCAACAAAAGGCATGCTGCATATCAGTGTGAATACTCATCAGTAATTTGGTTAAATACCTTTTATCAGTCGTCTCTAAATCATCCTGTCTTTTGCTAACTCATGAAAGTTGCTGTTTTCATTAATAATTTTATTCGGTCTTTTGAACAGGAGGAGAAGTTTATACCTTGTTTCCTGTTTAGGATTGGGTTTCCACTTCCTTCAAAAGTCTTCTCATTCTCTTTCACTTTCAGTAGCCATCTTAGTGGCATTATCTCCTTGCTTGGGGGGAATTGATTTTGGTTCATGGCCACATGTTGAAAAATCAGTTCTCATACAATCATCAAAGTTAAGCAATGTTGGGTCTGGTTAGTACCTAGATGGGTGGCCACTTAAGAATACCAGGTGCTGTAAACTTGGATGTGCATGTAATGGCTCCGAATTGTTAATCGGATAGCAGAGTTCGACTTCCAGTTGGGTTCCTTATTTACATATAGATTTCCTTGGGGAAAGGTATAGATTCACCTCTTCTCCCTACTGCTATGAATTAATTGATTAGACTTGTATCATGAAACCATTATTATCTCCAAAAACTTTTACAATCTAAAAATAGTTTTTGGCTTTAAATAACCTGCAAAGGTTGACAAGATGTAAAAAACAAATCAATCATAAATTGATTTGCATTGCCAACCCCACCCCACCCCACCACAAGAAAAAAATTATTTTCCCTAACTCCAATATTTGATTTTAGTTTCTTATAGGGAGCATACATCAATGAGGGGGTACTCACTGCATGTTTTGGGGCTAATATTTTCCACTGACATGAAGTAACGAATATTGTTGAAACAATTGGTGTAGAGTCTGCTTCTAGGAAAGTTGGTTCTCTGTATCATTCTAGATTATCTTTCTTACCAGAATCTAAGTCTACCATTTGTCCTGGCACTGAATATTGCTGCTTCATCTGGTTTAGTGCTTCTGCAATATATCTAGAGATTCTTGGCAAAATCCAAAGTATCATCCTCAATGTTATCCATCCTGACCTGGCATCTCAGCTTCATTCAATTCCTCACCATGGTAATGTAGCTTCTCTATGCCTTTTCTATAAATATTTTCATGATTATTGTTTTGATGAACCTTCCGCTTTGATTCTGAGGTAATTATGGTGGATGTAGTAAGAATGTATTGCTTTCGTATAAGGAATACTGTGTTATGTTTAAGTCAGTAATTGTGGCTAGCTAAGTTTAATTATGAAACAGATGAAGACCAGCCTTCCCCATTCCCCCTTTTGTCCTTGTGTTACATTTCTGTATTTTCACACAATAAATATCGCTTAACTCTTTGGTACCTCAACGATTGAAGCACAGTACTAGATTGGCAGCTAGGACTCCTCCTTTTACAGTTGAAATTGCTAGATGTAACCATAAATTCTATGCTAACAGTTTCTTCTCTTATACTTTTCATTTGTGGAATTATCTTCTGGCTTCTTGGTTTCCTATCAACTTCAAAAATTTAATTGCAATGTCAATCATCATCTGCCTCCTCGAATCCAGTTCTTTTATTGTCCTCTCTCTTTAATAATAGTTTTTCTCATATTCTTTCAATCTCAATAACCCCCTAATGTTTTGGTGGCTTTGAGTGTAATAATATATAGTTTGTGTGTGTATGTATGTATGTGTGTGTATATATATATATATATATATATATACAGAAAAAAGCATTATAATGATAAAGAAACAAATAGGAAATAATTATCTAACATGTTTCACTTTTATCAAAGCTTCATTAGAGAATGAGATATGAAGAAGAAGAAGAAATAAATTCTGGTATTTTTACTTTTGTGTTTGATTTTCATTGGTCAATCAGGTTTCACATGCATTCAACTCTTTAAACCAACATCGGTATAATTTGTGACATTCCAAATTCAAGGATAACAACATGTCCATCTGAAGTTTCAAGAAATTAAAATTCCTTTAAATATATACAATATAATATATATATATAAAAAAATATATATATATATAATATATATATATTATATATAATATATATATATATATATATATATATATATATATATATATTATATATAATATATATATATATATAATTATTATATCAATATATAGAACTATATATATAATATATATATATATTATATATATATATATATATATATATGATATATAACATATATTATATATAATATATATATATATATTATATATAATATATATATGGTTAATATATATATATATATATATTTAATATATATATATATTATAAATTAATTGATTTAAAATATGGTTTTTTTTTCGCTACACTGTTCTAACCATGTTTCAAAAATGGAAGCTAAAAGCCCCAAATTTAATTTTGTGATTAAATGGTTATTAGAAACTCAACCAACTTCAAAATAGATAGAATTAGAAAGGTTTTATATAAAGAATTTAAAAGTATGGGCTTAAAAATTACGGTTAGCACTAAATTAAAAAAGTAAACTTCCTAGATATAACATTAGATCTAAATAAAAATACATACACACCTTATAAAAAACCCAACACCAATCCTTTATATATACACCCTAAATCAAATCACCCCCCAACTATAATTAAACATATACCGTTATCTATCAGTAAACGAATAAGTATAAATTCAGCAAATAACAAGATTTTCAATGAGCATATTAATTCCTATAATAAGGCTCTAAAAGTGAGTGGCTACAAAAACCCAAAACTAACTTATATAAAAAATGAAAATGAAAAGCATAGGAAAAACAGATGTAGAAAAATAATTTGGTATACGCCCCCATACAACCAAATGGTAAAGAACTAATTAGGACAAAAATTCCTCGCATTAATAGTCAAGCATTTTCCTAGTGAAAGTAAACTAAGTATTATTTTCAATAAAAACACACTAAAATTGAGTTACAGCTGTACGGAAAACTTAGAAAAAATTATTAAGAACCATAATGCTAATATCTTAAATAAACACTTATACCAAAACCCCCAAAATTTAGACAATGTAAAAATAAAAACCGATGAAAATAAACAAAAATTATGTAACTGTAGAAACCCTCATAATTGCCCTCTACAAAATAAATGTTGCACTGAATCAGTAGTATACCAATGCAATATCTCTTCGATTGAAAGTCCTAAAAACATAAAAATATATATAGGTTGCACTAGCCATGAGTTCAAAAGAAGATTCAACCAACATCAAAGTTCATTTAGAATAAATAAATATAAAAATCAGACATCTCTATCAAAATACTTCTGGCACCTAAAAGAATCAAATAAAACATCTACAGTAAAATGGAAGTTAATAAGAAAAGCTAGAATATGTAGGTCATTAAATGACCCATGTTCTTTGTGCATACATGAGAAACTATATATTGCTAAGTTTATAAAAAATAAAAATTTACTGAATCAGAGAAATGAAATAGCTATTTTATGCCGATATTGTCAAAAATTTTCCTTAAATAATATTTAAAAAATAAAAATAATTTTATAAAAATAGGATCAGGTAATATACATACTTATATTTAACATGAAAAATATTAATAGTGTAAGCATTTTCCTAGTGAAAGTAAACTGTTTTTCTATTAAAAAAAAAAATTTTTTTTACTTAAAAATACTTAAAAATATTTATAAATATAAAAAATTTTAAAAAAAAAATCATAATATTAATATACTTGATATAGAAAAATAATTTTACTTACTGTAAAGTAACTCTAATACATTTTACTTCTATTAAATGAAATAGTCTATGAAAAAAAACAAATAATGAAAAATTTTTAAAGTTGTAATTAAAATTGTAGTTAATTAAAATGAATTCTAACCTAAACTTCTTTTAAATAAATAAATTAATTAAATAAATAAACAAAGTTTACCATATCAGAGAAATGAATTAGCTATTTTTGCCATAATGAAAAAAATTTTACTTAAAAAATATTTAAATATAAAATTTTTTAAAAATTGAAATATAAATATACTTGATATAGAAAAATAATTTTACTGACTGTTAGTAACTCTGATAATTTTACTTCTATTAAATGAAATATAGTCTATTAAAACTAACAATGAAAATATTTTAAAGTTGTAATTAAAATTGTAGTTAATTAAAATGAATTCTAACCTAAACTTCTTTTAAATTGTAATTAAATAAATAAATAAAGTCTACTAAATCAGAGAAATGAAAATTTTACTTTAGTAATATTTAAATATAAAATTTTAAAAAAATCGTAATATACTTGATGTGATAATTATTCTACAAACTGTAAGGGATTCTAATTACATTTAATTGTTCTTGAAAGAAATATAGTATATTAAAAATTAAAAGTAAAAATATTTCAAATCGTACTTAAATAAAATGTATTCTTACCTAAACAACCCACCCCCCAAAAAAATCTTTAAATATGCAAAAGAAAAAAATGCTGTAAGAATTTTAGACGTTAACAATATAATTTAAAAAAAATCTAGACAACAGGCTTTTAACGGAAGTTAGATTTCATTGAAAAATACATCCCTTCCCACTACCCAAACGTAGCAATAACTGATACATTAAATTATAGACATATTGAACACCCAGTCACCCCTGTCTAGAAAAATAGATTTATCTGTAACCTTGGAAACATGAATTTTGTTTTAGCTGTGTATTTAAAACCCAGTAATTTTAAAAAGTTACTCCAAAATTCGCTTGAGGATGAAATGGAACTAATGTCTTTAATTTAATCACAAAATTAAATTCGGGGCTTTTAGCTTCCATTTTTGAAACATGGTTAGAACTGTGTAGCGAAAAACAAAAACATATTTTAAATCAATTAATTTATAATATTTACATTGAGCACTATTTTATAAAAATAAAAATATCTATGAGAACACCGGATTATATATCTTGCTGTTCTTTCTTTTTATTTATATATATATATATATATATATATATATATATATATATATATATATATATATATATATATATATATATATAGTGTATTTGGTCATCAGTTTTTCATTTTATGACTTTGGTTAAAAATCAACGAAAGTTCTTTGTTAAGGATTTCATTTATTTTTCCCATCTTTTGGACACTTTTCTTGGTTTATCACATACAGTAGCGTCCAAAACTAAGGGACAAAATTTAAAACCTAATATTTGTTAGAAATAACAACTGTGAAAAGCTGACATTTTGACAACTGGTAGTCGTTATCATCCATAATAACATACTAAAATTTGAATCATTTGCAAAGGATAGAAAAAGAATTATAACAATTATTTATTTATTTTAAAAATAGGATCGTCCAAAAGTAAGGGACAAAATTGAGAAAAACAATGTAAACAGTATGCTATATTCAATTTTTTTGATTTCCTCTAAAGAATAAATCTTACTTAGTCATTTGTAAACGTTGCATCAGCCAGCACCA